TTGCTTCAAACTTGTGATGATCGGTGGTGTGCAGTGCAACATCAAGTAACCAGTGCACGCATCACATGGGTCAGCCGATCTGAGTGATTACTGTTTTCACCTGAAACGCAAAATCATACAGAATCCTTACCCAACTCCTAAAAGAAACGTCCCTACCCAGGTGGTTATCCAGCCACTGCTCAAGTGCCCCTCCATACAGTCTTGCATCATCGCACTCTCTGAGATCGGTACCAACAACAAGCCCTTGAAGCGCTCGGTCATCTTCTCCTGGGCTCCGCTCGGTGGGTCGTGACCTCCTCGAGCGAAGCTGCTCTGCCTGGAAGTGGGCCAAGGTCTGGTTCCGGGAGACCATCACTTCCGTGGCGGCATGCAAGCGGTTGTCCATCACGCGCCAAGGCCTCCAAAGAGGGAAAGCACAACAAGCACCGCTTTCCAAGCAGGGTCGAGTAGGAAGTGGTTCTTTTGAGCGAGGCTCCATAAGCCATACATGAACAAGGCCCTGCAGATGTGTCCAAGCATTCTTTTGGCTAAGGCTTAGGCTCAGAAGGCTTCTTTCAAATCGTTATGTTCATCAAGCACTTCTTCCAGCTTCGCAGTTCTATAAATATATATATATGGCCTATTGACTTCAATTCCGTCACCTGTGGGCCTTCCTTCCCCCAGCCTCACCAAGATCACCATGTCCTCCGGGCCCAGCTCTTCCTCCTCTGACGCCGGGCCCATGAGCCGGGCCAGCCACTGGCCACTGGGGCTGCGAAAGTAAAGTTTCTCCCATTCCAGCCAGTGCAAACATTGATGAAACATGCTAAAAGCTTACAAAAACAAAACCACGACATAGTCTTTGCCTCGCCTCGAACAACTTGCAGTTTCTGTTGGTTGTCACCCAGTGTTGCATCTTTTCTACTGTTTCTGGGAAGCTGGAGAGAGCTCGGCTCACATATTATCGAGCTTTTTTGGTATTCTCACACAATGTCACTAGCTTGTTCCACAAGATCCTAAGATCATCTAAGATCAATTCAATAGTCAAGATGTTTTGTGTGCAGCTTGTGTTGATACAATGAGATTCCCGATTTAGTTTCTCCCCGCTTGGTATGCTGTCAATACCTTGCTTTGAACAAGGTTGGCAGTCTTCCCACAGCCTGGCAGATTCGTCTAGAACTTTCATATGGCAGTGTGAATGTCTGTTGCAACCCTGCGAGTTCTGCGATGTTGTCAAATTGAAAACCTGCCCACAAATCTACGTGTGGAATATAATTACTTACATTCTGGGGGTTGAAACAAAACCACATGTTGCAAAGAAATCTGCACATGGGCACCAACAGTCGAAATCCTAGCGCGGAAACAGTCGCAGATTACATCAAAAACACCTGTCTCTCTGAATGCCCAGGAGATTCCAGATTCCAGGAGTCTCCTCTGGCATCAGCTGCACTGCTACCTGGCTGGCAACTTGGCCATCAGCGCGAGCGCCAGTCTTTATAGGAACTCGAACATCAAGCTTCAATGGCTTTGGCAACTTGGCACTTCTTCCTCTCCCGTCCTTTGATCTTCTGCGAAGGGACTAAGGGTCGAGTCTAAGGGTGTACCAAAGCGAGGTATGGCAGGTCAGACTGTCAGCAGGGAACCCAAATTCTCCGGATGCCTCAGTGGAATTCACCAGGGGGCCAGGGGGTGAAAGAAGGCAATGTTAAACAGTCGAGACAAGCAAACCAAGTAGCAAACCACTGCGCTTTGAGTTGGTGATCTGTACGCTTTCCATCTGTTTCCTTTCGCGTAGGCACTGTCACTGTCTCCCTATCTTCATTTGAGACAATGCCTCGTGGACCGGTGGTTGATTATTCTTTCTAATTGAGGTCGGGATGGCACATTCACTCGTCTGTTTATGTTTTTTTGCCAAAGCCCTGAGAAAACAACTTGAGAACGCCGGTGAACGACTTCCCTCATCGCCGGTGCGTGGAACACGACTTCCCTCACCTGGCGTCCATCAGCGAAGCCCAGCAGTGCACTCCTGGCAAGGAAATCCATGCACGTTGTGAGGGCTGGATTCCGTCTCTCAGTCCCTCATTCCCGTGCAAGTAGAGACTCAGCACAGTAGATGTTGGAAGTAACTATGCAAACTATGCGTCCATTGTTTTGCATGCAGGACATGGACAGCATATTGCACATATTTGCACATACAGTAGCCAGCATACATTGCGTGAAAGGCCGACTGTCGGCTGAAATGCTGAGCTTCACTCACGCCAGTCATAACCAAGCATTCCAGCAAGAGTGGGTTGTGCACAACGAATGTTTGTCGGTTGCAAATCCGGCTGAAACATGCCCCCCAGAAGCTCGAACCCAGAAACCTACAGCGAATTGATTGAAAGCCACTTCCAACCCACAAAATGGTTTGGTTCACACTTCATGGTTCAATCGAACCCACCTCCCAAAAGAAACCGGTGCAGCTTCGTGCGTTCTGCCTTTGTCTCTTCGTCTCGTTTTTTCGGGTTTGGCCGCGCCTCAAGGTACGTTGGTCTCGGAGGATGGCGAAGTGTTTGCCCGCTTGGCCATCCTCAGTTCGCGAAGCTCGAGCGGAACCAGCGGGAACGACGACGCTGGAAGATGGTGAAGGTTCCGCGTGTTCTTCTTTTGTGTTTTTGGTTCCAGGTTCAGCGACAGGGGGCGGAAGAAGCGGCTGCTGAAGTGTTAAGGGCAGTTGACGTCGCTTGGAAATTGTGAGTATGAGATAGTTATACCAGGAGACATTAATCCCAAAAGAGCTGCGACAAAAATATTCATGGGAGTTTGTGGCCAGGAGGAGTTGAAGAAAGCTTATAATGTAGACTCTTGATTATAAGAGCACCACTCATTTGGAGTGTAAAACCTGTTCATCATGACATGATGGTTCTTTTTTGTCATGAACAGTCTGTACATACCGTACATCTTTCCGAGTTCTGCCTGCCGTGTGACCACTTGAACGATCGAGTTTCAGGTCGCTCCGGCCGAAAGAGGGAGGTACTACATATTTCTATATGCTGAGGGAGGGCGACCTGGGTCAGAATCTTGGGGTGTCAGCCAACTGGGACCCCAAATCTGGCATGCAGCTTAGTCCGATCAACCCAGCTACCCCAGGTAGCTCCGGCCATTGCGGCATCCCACTAAGAATGTCCGCCTCATTACACTTTTGGCTACACGTGAGCCTTGTCCATGGCACATGGCGGCGTGGCCAACGCATCAGCTCATTTTGATGCTACTCTGCGCATCATAGTGGCAGCACAAAGCTGCAAGGACACAGTACCAACACTGCCACTTCTGTACAGATTTGCAGTGTAAATGCTTGAAACGGATTCAACATGCCTCTAACACCATCTAACTCCTGCCCTCTCGGCCAAATCCTCGTCTTTACCAGCTCGTCATCATTTCAGCCCGAGCTGGGCTTCACATGGGATCTTTGGCGCTTCGGACGGGCGTGTTGTAGGTGAGCCTGGGATGATTCCTCACCCATTCCTCCCCACGGCGCAAGGCCTTGGTCTCAGGGATCTTCAGTCGGAGCTCCTTGGCCAAGAGCTTCATCACGTCGTCGCACAGGCCCCAAATGTGCAAGCTTGTGGCCTGGTTCCAGTGGCCAGCCCGCTATGATGGGGTATTGCTATTGAGTTACAGTAAGGTCTCCAGGTCGCAACTTCACCTCGGTGAAGCCCTGAACCCTCCGTAAAAACAACATAGCAATGATAGAAATGTCGCCCTGGCATTCCAAACTGCTCCAGTCTAAACGATGTCAAAGACATGTTTGCCAGGCCTCGTCGTAGAAGGTCCTCTGCAAACCAATGATCACCTTGCATGCATGAGTGGTCTAAAGGTAAATACCTTTGATGGACATCGGTGGATGATGACATTCAAAACATCCAAAACTTATCAAATGAACGATTATGTAATCATAAACTCAAAATCCAAGAAAGTCGTGGTGGTGCTATCCGTCGTCCATTTGAAGTCACGTCGGATTTTCCGATGTGCGACCTCCAGGCCTAGAGGCAATGCAAACTTCGCGAAATACCATTCCTGTTGTACAGCTGGTCGATTGAATGGACTGTATATTATAAGACATTATAAGATACTTCAACATCGAGGGCTCCCTCTTGAGCGTTTTCGGGTCCGGTTTCGAGACTTCATCAGTCTCGAAACGAACATGTCCGCAGAGACTGAGCCCCATATGACCGACGTCGGGGGCGACCGAAACACCTCGTACCGCGTTGAGGATCGATGCCAGGTCGCCAGACCATCACCTTGCCCCACGGCAAAACGCTCCGCGGCCGCGCGGGGGATCTCGTCGCTGGTCATGCCGCAAAGGGAGGTGCCCAAGGTCACACAAAGGCTGGCGCGTGCAGACCAAGCCACCTGGTCGCTCGGAAGGGCGACCTTTTTTTTTTGGTTTAATGCAGTGATTAATTGTAGAGTTGCACCTTGGTGCTTGTATATAGCATGCGTGGATACTTGATAGATTGATACTCATGACTCATATTGTACCCTTTTCAATCGATTGGATCAAACGAATTCTTACCACAAATCGGGGAATTGAGGAGGACCTTGGGTTAATCCAGCTGATGATGACTGAAGCCATGACCATCCATTCCCAGGTGCAGGGGTTCTTTCCCTCCCGCAGGTGGAACTCTTCAAAATCCTCTTGACCCACAGTAGCATTTTGGAGGGATTCGCCGAGAACCTTCAAGGGAGGAATGGCCATGGGCTCACAGAGTTGAGTTCAGAGCTTCGATCGTCTGGGCCCCCAAGTGACTGGTGGTCTAGACCCCCAGACACGGTGCCTGGGTGGGGTGTCATCTACTTCCAGCTCAGTTTCACCAAGGCACCAACCACTCCAAGAGGTCCGATCGCAAGGTATCGTCCATCATCTTCACCTTGCGAGCACGGAGGCGTCCACCACTCCATGCCCACGGCGGAGTGAAGAGAAGGAGCCCGGCGTCAACTGCCGGGCCCCAACAAACAGAGCCGTGGGACACAGAGCCGTGGGCCACCAGTGTTGATTCAATTTGGGGGGGGATCGGTCTTGATGGATCTGAGATCGGACCCGGTCTAGCTGCGGAACGGGTGCACGAGAAAGAACGAACGGACCGGCGAAGTACGGGTGCCGGGTGCACGGGTGTCCGCCTTGACAGCCATTGGATGCCATTGGGCATGTTTCGATGTTGCAAGCACTTGGAACGGCTTGGAACGCCGGCGTGGCCGAGTCATTCAGGACTATATACAGTAATATAGTAATGCTACTATGGGACCTCTTGCAGCACCCAATATGTCACGGACAGCTTGGCAGATCTGCTAAGCTAGCTATACCCAACCAGTCTATCTGAATAGTCACAGGGCTTGGACAAAAAAGTATGAAAACGTGTCCCCCCCACAGTGCTCAAACTCTTTCAAAGAAGGTACAGGGCTGTCTCCACACAAGAACTTCACCCGAAGGTTCCGAAGGATTGCCATCGCTGTTTTTTTGTGGTGGAGGGGACGGAGGGGACATAGACATAGACGTGCAGAACTTGGTTGAAGTCTGCCACAAGAGAAACCACTTGGGGATCGAGAGATATCCAGAGGATATCCAAAGGATCACGTGCAAGCTGTAAACATGTCCCTCAGGTCACCGAACCCCTCGTCGTCACCGAAAGAACGCCGCAAAGAACAGTGGCCATGTTCTTGGTGTCTCCCCAAGCGCCATGGATTTCATTCAGCTTTGCTTGAGGAAAGCCTGCGGAAAAGGGTGCAAACCAGCAGAACTCTTGAACACACAGGTTTCTCCCATTTGACGGATGAAACTTCTACACACTGCTGAAGACGCACGCCGCGCAAGTCGCACTAAGCAACATGTCACTTTGACTCTGCTTGCATCTTCTCACCTCGTCGCCGTGTCTTGGAGCTGAGTCACAGGACAGGTCTGGTTGGGATATGTCAACCATTCTAGCACAGTCCTTGAGCAAGTGGCATGCTTCAGTCGCGCCCGAACAGTTGCCAGCAGCTCTTAGGCGTAATCAGAAACACCACCTCTCAAGCCTATATACTTTGAACATTTTGGCGCCGACTCTATGCCGTCCCCACCCCTCGCAAAAATGACTGGAATCAACGCCGTGTCCCGTCCCGCCTGCTTTCTGGGCCAAGCGGTCGTGATTTTGCTGCACCCAGTTCCTAGCGGCAAAGCTTTTCCATAAGGTCGGTGATGTCTGATGGCGAACTCAAGGGCCATACCGATGGCATGATTCAAGAATATTCAGGAGTAAGTCTGAGTAAACTTGGCATGTGATTCTTAAAATCCTTTTTCCTTGCTATTCAAAAATCCGACAGTCAACACCCTGTTCATTGGCTACTGGTCTGGAGGATATTCATGGGCGGTTCTAAGGAACATTAAGGAACTCCCCCAGTGCAAAGTAACTTGAGAGGAGGGAGACACGAAAGGTAGGACAGCGGGAAGAGAA